TAGGCGGTTCCAGACACCTCAAACGGGGGAGGGAGGGGGAGGGGGTTTCAGGGCGCAAATGCCTTACTCAGAAAATTTTCGAAAAATTGAAGTATCTAATATGTAGTTTAAGTCAATTTCGTCACGAATAATTACCAATTATGAGCGTTCTCTCTCCTTTCACAGGTTCCTTCCTTCTCTTTCTTCCCTTTCCTGCTTCCTTTTTAGGACAAACGGAAGGGGGGGGGGCTTTGTGGTTCCGCCCATACTAAACATGATGGTTGAGCGTGGAAATAGGGGTACGCTTTGAGGTGAAAGGGACGACTTACTCTCAACTTGGCAACGCTGTTTTTTCTCAATTGAAATGTATGTAAAACAATCGATTCGAAGAATCGATATTTTTAAAGGATTTAAAGCGGCACCGGAACGTCGGTAGTTGCGGCGTGATCCATGATCGCTGACGGCGACGGTGAGTGAAAGGCGTTGTGCGCGACTGAACGAGAACCACGTAATTGCCGTTGCAACACTATGAAGATACGTTCTTCTTGCAGGAGGCGTCGTGCCAGCGGTAATCGTACAAAGCCTGTCTTAATAAAACGTCTCAATTTTTACGATCCCTGCTGCCAACGTCCGGATACACATTGCGCGGTTGCCAAAATCACCATTTCGCTTGGTAATTGAGCTTAATTCTTTGCCCCCTGACGAAGGAACGTAAATCCAACCCAACGTTGCCAAATTGACTCAAACAATTCAATTTTATTTTTACAAAAACGTACCTTAGAAATTCTCATCCAAAATTTTGCTGAATTTCGCATGAGATGTGGGGAAAAATCAGTGAAATTTTCGGATAAAAATGCCCAGGAGTTCCGTGATCACTGTACAATTTGCGAAAAAAAATTTGACAACATCGAAATGAAGTTACGTTCCTTCGTCCAGTAAACGACAAATTCTGCCATGCTGAGGGAGAACGCCGGAATATTGCAAAATTTCCCACCATGATTATTTTTATTCTTTTCTTTTCTTTCTTTTTTTTTGGGGGGGGGGGGGAGTAATGATAATTATGTCTCCTTAAAACATTTTTTTTTAGTACAGCGCATTATAAAGACAGTGGAGTTTCCTGCAAAACGCTTAAGCAAAAAATAGTGTATTTTCTCCGGAAAATACACTAAAAAACCTACAAGTTAGGCAGGGAATTTGCATATTATTAGAGAAAATAAATATGTCGACGCCGAAAAGTTCATAAGCTGTTCTACTTTACCACGGCAAAACTGCAACATTTCGGATGAGTTTTGACAACTTTCGTCCGCGAGCTCGACACATCGATGGTAGACCGTGTGATCATCCTGATGAAGATGTACAATTGCACACCTCGGAATCGTTTTGGTGGGTTGCCACATCTGCGGGCTTATTGTTGAAATTGGTAGGAAAAGCGATAGACAAATATGACAAAAAGGATATGGAGGGATCCTATTGGTGGAAGCGGGTGGTTGCAATGGACAAAGGAGGTGGGTAATAGACTAACTAACGACAACCCACGGGAGACCCTTTAGTTAGTCCATCAATTTCTCCCTTATAGTCCACAAGAACCACCCATTTTAACCAATAAGATCGCTACATACTCCTTAAGTCTCCTTTGCCTAGCCCTTTGTCTATCCATTTCAACAATCAGCCTGCTACAGACCGATTGTTGAAATTGATAGATAAAGCTATAGACAATGAGTACATAATGAGTACGGAGCGGTCCAATTGGTTAATTTGGGTGGTTCTTATAGACTATAAGGGGGTAAAT